CTGAGCAAAATGGAAATACAGCATCCAGAAAGATAAATGAGATAGCCTAGAGAGTGGACACAAAAGAATGCAGTGATGAAACACACAAAAGAAACACTCTATGAATTACCTTTTCAGATTACCTGAGAATAAAAAGATGAGCAAATATCCAGCAGATAACCAATTAATAGTTTTATGAACAGGTAAGTAACCATTACAAGCTTGTTTCTCACACTGCCTCTTCAACATACTTTCTGTACAGCTGCATTAAAATGAGATTCCAGTTGGTAAAACCATATAGGCGTCCAGTTCTTCCTTCACCAGTAATTTGTGCTGCAGCATCAGGTTCCTGTAGCTACTGAGTTAAGACTATATGTGTGGGCACACAAACACACAGACTTTGATGCTATTGAGATTTATTAGTCTATGTAATCTCAGTGTGTTTACATTTCTGTCTCACGAAACTACTAGGGGGGGTTTTTTTGCCCCCATTAGTTACATCTGATTCCCACTTTGCGTATTGACATGGTTTCTCTCCTTTTTCTGTTCTTCTATACACAAGCCAGTATTGCCGATCTGTAGAAAACCAGGCTGCAGTGAGCTACATTAAGATCTAAGTTTTATAAAGCAACTTATAATCTTATGCTGTTGTTGACAAAAATCGGAGAATGGATTTTAATGCAAAAGCATATGCTTCCAGGACATCATTTTGAATGGAAAGTGTTAAAAAAAAAGACACTAAGATATGAAAACTGAGTGATCTGGAATTCATACACCTGTTTTACAATATAAATTGTAGGGAAAAAATAAAAACAAGATTGCAGATGAATTTTCAAATTTAAAAAACTCCCTTATAAAATCTTTAACTGCAGTGGAAGCACATTCATTATGAGTACAGATATAAGAAAGATTTTCAATATAAAAAAGGTTGAAATAAAATCCTGTAATAGGTATGAATATTGCATCCTAAAAGTCAGGGTCTCTAATGACACTGTAACACGAAATGGCAAGTTGAAGATTTCTGTAACTTACTTTATGAAGAGACGAAAATCAAGACAAAGGGATATAATACACAAATAGGAAGATTTAATTAGGCTCAAATCATCCATGTGTCATTTACTTTTAAATCAACCAGTTTATCTTTCTTTAAAATCAGTCCAAGTTCACATCCTGTTATGTTTTTGAAAAAGGACAAGCATCAAGATGTTTATACAGTAGATGGCTTTTTTCTGTTAAAAAGCCACCCTAAAATTTTTGAATGGGTATTCTAACATGTCAGAATTTTAAATTTCAACATATTCCTGTCTAGTGTCAATCATTTCTGTAATTTCATAACAGAATGACATAGCTTAAAATGATGAAATTACTTTCTTTTTCAAAGCCACTGCCACTTGAGACTACCTCCTAGTATCACTCAGCTCACTATTCAGTCTGCTTTTACTACTTTATTCTTGCACAATTCCTATCTGTTGCAAATTAACATTAGCGTTTTTTAGACCGCCCCCCAAAGAAATCTTCAATGTCACAGGCAAAGGAAGCGTCATGACAGTCTATTCAGAAAACAAGTTACTATTGTCATCATAAAGATGTTATAATGATAAGTCTCTAATAGAAAAGCATCTACATTACCTTCTCACAATCACTCCTGATTTTTATGGAAATCTTGAGGTTCTAAATAGATATTCTTGAAAGTAACTAGGAAATTAATCATTGGTAGGGCCTTTAGAGGAAGAAGCATAAACTCTCTGCATCCTAGAATGCAGGGTCAACCATATATTCTCGTGGATTGTGCCATCTTTGTCACAGAGAATACTACCTTTCCCTTGACTGCAAGCCTCTCTGAAAGGATCCCTAACATTTCTTCCCCTTGTGGCACTTCCAGCCTCAGCCTAAGAGGATTTATTTTTCCTCATGGCCACAAGTATTCATGTGCAATACATCTGAGGTTATCTTTGCTATAGTTGTCTGGTAGCAACTGTTTTTTTCCTGACTGTTAAAGAAACAGTGAGATATTAATATTCATACTCAAGTCCAATCATAAGTACAACAAAGTCATTGACATCTGAAGAGCTTTCCTCTACAACATTGGCTCGAACATGCAACTAAATAAACTGAATAGATAACTTAAAGAAAATTATTTTACTTCATAGGTTTCACCCACAAGATGAAAGCGCTGATGAAAACTGATAAGAAAATATATTTGCAGAATTTGATGTCTGGAGAAGCTCCACATGATTATCCCTCAGAAGTGCTGCACATTAAGAAAAAAGTGATAGTGCTAAGGGCTAAGTTTGGAAGTACACAGCAGGGAAGCCCTCCTTGTACATGTTGATGATGTCACTCTTGAAATAGAAGAGATGGAAATCAGTGTAATCATCTTTCTTTTTGCTCAATCAACTACCATCTTGCAGAGTTGCCTTGACAGAATAGCTCAACTTTTAACAATAATTTAGGGGAGAAAAGATAAAAGTTCCTGTCCTGCTGAGAAACATAGCATATGTAGATTCTCGCAAGAACACTCTTGTTTTTTTCTGACAGAATACTATTCTAAATTCTGTACATGACTTTCACACACATTCCTCTCCCTTTGAGAGTTGAGTCATATGACATGAATCAGACTGAAGATGGTCCCTTCCTTCCTCCTCCTCTGACACAGGTAATTTCCAGCTACTGTTTCTGTTCAGCTGTTTGTGTACTTCTGCTTCGGCAGTTCACAGGCTACATGAAAAATTGTTTACTTAAAAATAAATATATTTTTTTAATTATTATTTTTAATTCCAGAGCTACTGCACACTGTAGCCAAACAGTTGAAATAATGCAAATGCAGGAAAAAGTAGCTCCTCAATCAGTTCTGCCACTGGAGAGACAAATTATCATACAGCACCAAGGCTTGTAGATTTGTGAGGAGGACTTCCCATATCCATTGTAAGTTTGAGACTGAAAGCTCATTTCTGCTCCCTAAGGTAAGTTTGGACAAACTCCAAAGCAACAGAGCATAAATGGGGCTTTTGAACAAAAGTTTCCTACATTTGAGTGCCTAAGGTTAATCTCCTATATTGATAATTAGGTTTGAGAACAGAAGTAAAACTCAGAAGTGCTTAGTTCAGATTTGTTTCAGTGGGATATACTGTCCACAAGCATACAACAAGGTCCATTTCTATTCAAAAGTTTAAATACTTAAAGCTTTAGGCAGATCAGAGTCCTTAAAACTTCAGATACCTATATTTTATATTTCATCATAGTTTTATTTATCATTCTGCACTTACAGATATATGTAGGTTTTTTCAGCTGTAACCAAGAAATATCTCTATGACATACACTCATTAACTATCCTAATAAGACCATCTATAATCAAAGAGACAAAGTATGCATTTTTTTAAAATCTTATCTTGGTGCATTTTTCCATCTTGGTGCCGTAAGATTTCCTGAACTCAAAGTTAAGGCATAAGTCAACTAGTTATGTTTTTACTGTGCCATAATAAATTTCCAAGAACCACTGATTCCTTCTATTATTATTTTTTTCTTCTTCCTACCTGGAGCAGTTCCAATCAAATGTTTTCTTAATTATTATTCCACATACATTTCCAGCACCCCAAATACTACTTACAAGCTTATTCAGAGGGACAAATAGAATAACAGACTCTGAAAAGTAAGCATCCTCACCATTGTCCTCATTGCTTTTGAACAGAGTACCCAGTCCTATAGTATACGTAAATCCAAGCCAGAGGACCGCAAGCAGAATAGATCTTCCAATAAATCATTCCCTGGACAAGAGAGTTTGGTACACAGTCGGGGAAGGGCAAGATAATTAGCTATTTATTAGTTCAAGAACAGAACAGGTACTCCCATTGCTTGACATTCAGTGCGTCACGTGAAATAAAACCAACACATTTCACACTCTTTGAGTATGTGGCCAAATTGTTCCCAGCACATAATTTGTTCTGTCTTTACTTGCCAGATTTCCAATTGCCAGTGGCACAGGAGTGGCTGACCACCCAGCATTTGACATGCTGCCATAATTTGCATTCTCCTACATACATAGGCAAAATCAAACAGTCAGGCTCAATGACCACCTTTCAAATTCAGGAGCTTTTGTCCCAAAAATACAAAACATACATGCAGTGCATTTATTAGATTCTTCTATGACCATTGTACACAGCAGCCTTTGAAGGGCATTGTGAGCAAGAGAAAGTCATTGCTTTGAAGATGTTAGTATAAGAGCTTTAAGTAAATTAAGATATTAATAGGTCCTCCATTTCCAACTTGTATTATGAAAAAAATCAGCTTAGTTTACAAAGAAGAATACTGCGCTGAATTCAAAGTTGAAGTTGCTCAAGCAGCCACAGCAACCCATACGTCCGCAGCTACATAAACATCTAGCTTACTTTCTACATCTGAATGTGTTGCTGCAGAAATGAGGAATGTCCTAAAGTTAAGAAGGCCACAACAGCTGACCAATTGTCATGTTTTGCTAAGTTCACCCTTGTCACATTATCACACAGACTCTTTCAGTTTCTCCTGCCTTTACACATGTAGTACAGCTATGTATGACTACTTCAGAATTATACTGTGAGGCTAAAGACTGTTGATAACTCAGTGAAAGAAACGTAATCACTGAAGATATGATGAATTCTAAACAAATACAATGAGACTATGTGATGACTCTCATTAACTCCACATTATGAAGCTCTATATATTCGATTGACTCTTGAAACTTTAATTAAAGAATATTCTTGACAACAGCTTTGTTTCATGCTTATTTTTTCCTAAGATGGCTATTTCACCATTCAAGATCTACGAGCATTTTATGGTAGACAACACAGAAGATAATATTGCTTGTAGGTTTGTTCTTGTGAAGACACACAAAAGAATCATCTGAAAAACAGAGCTGTAGCTGAAAACAGAACTAAATCAGCAATCAAAACAACTTAACCCAGTGGTATTTACTGTCTTTTTCAAAAGCTAGTACTGATGCCAAGACCAGCAGTCCAGATAAAAGTCTTTGTTAGCACGTCACTTACCATATTTATTGATGATACAGGACCAATGCTGTTGACATAAATGTCAACATCAATAACTGTTGGTTTTACTGTGGAGAAAAAAAAATAATATCATTTTTCAGAAAACATAACTAATCACTTTAAATATTTTCTTCCCCAATAACTATAAGGTCTACTCTTCAGGTAGAACTACTGAAAAATATGGCTTATATATATTTTTAGGGATACAAGGTTCTTTTCTGCCTACCCCCAAAAAACTGCAATAAATTACAGCCTGTACCACTTTATCATCATGATCCCCATTTATCTCAGCAGCAATTTTTTAAAGAAACTTTCAGTGCTAAGCACAGTGGCTCAAAGTCAAAACCTAAAATGACTGACATGAAACTAGAAATAATGCAGCATATCACTTTTCCCCATTGCCTCAACTCACAGGTCCTTTAGCATACTTGTTCCACAAGAAAAATATCTTTCCAGATTTTCTCATCTCATCTGTCCTGAAATCATCCTAACTTGGAGTAAAATCACTATGAAATCCATTTAGCTAAACCTAAGCAACTCTTCTTCTTTCAATTTAGACTCACTCCCTTCAGACCCCATTACCTTTGCACTCATTCATCCAAAGGTTTTTGAATTTGATTTGGTTTAGTCAATGCAAGTTTTTCACAAGATCTTCCATGTTTTCTGACTTCCAGGATTTAATAGGTTCGGGCAGTGCTGTGCCGGCACTTTAGTGGTGTAGCCTAACTTTAAAATAATGCCATTCTTGCATTGAAAGGCAATTTTTTTTTTACTTATACTGCCCTCATTCTCACACCACAGGGTATACATTAACCTCTAAATTGGTGTTTTACTTTCTTCAGGGTTAGCTGACCCAAACCTAAGTAAGTATAAATCCTGTTCTAATCTGCATAGTCAGAATTGATGCAAACTTAGCCCTGGTAGGCCAACAGCTTCTTTTAGAAATCTCCCTTTCCCATAGGGGCACCTTCCCCTCTCCATGGTATTCAAAAATCTTCAGAGAGCAATTCAAACCACTGAAATTTGGGAACTATGCTGAATTTGGGACTTTTTGCACCAATTGCCGTGCTCCCTAGAATGAGGAAACACAGATACAACAGCCACTTAAAACTCACAGAGCTTTCCTCAAGGAAGATGCTGAGCAGAGAAGTGAGGAACAGTTAAATACTGTGGCTCTGTGGGAAGGTTATCTCAGGTGGATAACAGTTAATTTGTCTAAAGCTTAAGAAACCATCCAGCACAAAGCTGAAGACAGACAGGAATCTTCACATGTAAAGATGAATAATTTTTGCCCACTTCCCCCAAATTCCAAACTAACAATGAGATGCCGTGGAGTTTTAAAGTACCCAAAAAGTTAGATGGTTCTGAAAAAATAGTCAGGCTGGCTTGTCATGTAAGATTTTGGTATGTACATATCATTAGGAAGACTAGATCTAATGTCACAAAAACAGACATTAAAGTGGCTACAAATAGTGGTTATAGGTGATAATCATTCTCTCTAACCCATTAAGTACCACACTTCTTTGACTGCATATGGTCAGAACATCCAGGATCATTTAAGGTCATGGTTTCAAATTGTCTGAAGTACTGGATTACAAACTTGGATCTTCCCTTCAGCAAAAGAAAATCTAAACTCAGCTGAACAAGCACAACTGATTAATGCAACTCTTATTATACCCAGTTAATAACTAAATAGGAGTCTAGCAGCTTCTGGTAATGCGACTTGCCTCAAAATGCAGTAATAAATGTCATTACATAGTAATTGGTAATAACGGGGAACTACAGCTAGCTCTTTTACCAAGATAGCATATATGGAATAAAGGGCTCTGATCTTTTTAGAGCTTATGCACGTATCTGTCTGGAAGTTCAACACTAAGGAGTTCTGGTGAACACCAATGGGACTCTCCTTCTCTGGAGATATTCTCTGGAGATATTCAAGACCCATCTGGACAAGGTCCTGTGCAGCCTGCTGTAGGTGACCCTGCTTCGGCAGGGGGTTGGACTAGATGACCCACAGAAGTCCCTTCCAACCCCTACCATTCTGTGATTCTGTGACTAGACTTAGTGATGCAAAGTGGCACATAATTGAATCTCAGTAGGATCAGGGACAAAGTTCAGGACCAGAATACAGTGCTTGGAATCCATTTTTGTTTAATCATTGAGTTAAGTATATAAATAGATTATGGGATGATAATTTACCCTGAATGTGTTGGGCCAAACTCTCTTCCAGTGCAAAAAAATCAAGCAGTGCTTGTTAATGCTAAAGAGAATTTGGTCTTACTCACAGTAAAGGTCTAATCTCGAAACAGAAGAAAACTGAGCAGCAGCCACTTCTTATGTCAAATTAAATCAGCATCTGACCTCAGACATTCCCAGTGAAATTCAAATTAAAAATAAAAAATACAGGTAAGTTATTATATCACTACAACTACAAAAAAGACTGATAGTTCCTTTGAATTATATTTTGTTTTGCGAGGTAGAGGTAGCAAATACAATTATAATACCATTGTATGGCAAATATGTGTTCAAGTTTTGAAAGCAAAGACAGAAAAGTATAGTTCTTGTTTCATGTGGTCTCTCATGGATATGAACAGATAAAAACTGGGACAACCATCAGGTATAAATTTTAGACTTGTTATCATAGGATTTTAATTCAAAATACTAACCTCAACCAGGCAAAGATTTTAAGATTACTTCATCCAAATAGCATTGTAAAAAAGAAAGTAACTGAGTGTCCTGGGTTCAGCTGGGAAAGGGTTAATTTTTACAAGAAGGTGGTTGGGCTGACCCAAACTAACCAATGAAATGGCATGTTCTATACTATGTGATGTCATGCTCAGTATTTAAGTAGGGAGCTGGCTGAAGGAAGGGGATTTGCTACTCAGGAGCAAGCTGAGTATTGAGTGGTGAGAACGTTGCATGTTGTATATTATTTTTTATCAGTATTATTGTTGTTATTTTCTTCTTCCTTTGCTGTTCTGTTAAACTGTTTCTATCACAACCCATGAGTTTTGCCTTTTCCTTCTGGTTCTCCTCCCCATCACACTGGGCGGGTGAGGGGGGAAGTGAGAGAGTGACTGCGTGGTTCTTTGTTGCCAACTGAGGCTAAACCACAATGCTGAGTCTTAAAGTTATCGTGTCCTATTAGAAAGAACTGACCCTCTACCAGTCTTTAAAATAAACTGAGTTTCATGGAAAGGCATAAATATTTACATTACTAATTATTTCAAAGCCTGCTTAGTTTTTCTTTATACTACGTGCATTTGTGAACACTTAGTTCATGGACTGATTTAAGCCATGCCTGGTGTTGCTGAACTGCAGATGGAGCCTTTATTATTGCACTAAGAAAGTCTTGCTTAAACAACATATTGTTAATACCTCACTAAAAGTCGGTAATAAATGGATACTCGGCTTCTGTACCTTTATGATATTGGCATCAGCTCAAAATAGTTCTAAAAAACTGTCAGAAACTTAGAAAAATTACTGGCAGAACCATGTGTATATCATTACACATGCAGGACAGCAACTAAAGGTTATCAACAAATGTACCAACCTTCTCAAAATTTGAAATATTCTTTAATATATAGTAGTTAACTTTCCCTAAAAGACAATGTAAGCACATCCAAGAAACTGCAGTGTTAGACTGCTACACATTGCTATCTACGGTTAGCTGACTGCTTACCATAATCATTTTCTCTTCAAACCTGTTGGTTTCAATTGAGGAGGGAATTTATAAAGCCAATCAAAATATCTGCAAACAAAACTAAGGCCATGCCAATATTTAGCTAATAGTCCTCATCTGATCCAAATGCCACGACTCTGAGACAGATGGAGTGTTTATATTCTGTTCAGCCTTGTGACTATTACATTGCAAAGGCACACCTCAGAGAAATTTTTCTACAAACTTTGAACAGTTCAAAAGATGCCTAGTCACAAGAGTCGTGAGTTCAACGCTGCCTGCAAAGCTCATTTAAGAAGCCAAGTGAACACTTAGTGTAAAGCTAGGTCAGGTATGTCTGGATAACAACAAAAAGCAGAAACAGCTAGAATAATACGCTGATCGCAAACACCCATGCAGGCCAACTACAGGATTTGTGTAGTTCTGCTTTATAGATTTACCCTGGTGAAAAAAACAGTACCTGAGCCTGAATCCCATTAAAATCCATGAAGACTTACTCTTGGACATATGCAAGCTGATCATGTGTGTAAAAAAAATTGACAGATAAACCAAGAGAATTTCAAAAGACTTCTGAGGAAAAGAACAAAGGGATTGTTATACAATTTCACAAGTCATGCAGGGAAGAAATCTGCAAAAAGTTTGTGACATCTTCTTATGTTTATTTAGTATTTTAAATTATCCTGTCCTTTTAAAATATCTCTTAATTTTTGATAGATCTCCACTATTTAAAATTTATATTTATTCATGAATGAAATCACTTTTTTTGCTTCCTACAGAAAGCTTCCTCTGCATTTGAAGTCTGTCCAAATAGCATTTACTTATCCAAATAGTATAAATATTTAGAATTATTTTTTAAATTTTAATGTTGAGAAATATTTTTATTGAAAGCTTATTTAAACATGAGTAGAACTAGCTGAGCTCTCAGAAATTCTAAAATAAAATTAAAATTAGGGGTTTTTTTCAGTCTTAACCTTTCTTACATTGTTCAAGCAGCTTCCAGGTCTAAATTATTCTGGTTTTACCCAGAACAGCAGTGACAAAAACATTATGGATCAATATACATATATTTATAGAAGTAAAGAAATTAGCACTAGATTTTTAAAAGGCACATAACCAGATAACAAACACAGTATAAGTTCTGTTACACAAATACACAGCCACTTAAACTATGCCTAAGTTCCACAAGGCTTTTGAACACAAAAGACTAAAGATTGGCTCTATGGTAATGAGATTTTTTTTTTAAATTACTCTATAATGATATTTTACATTATCTCATTAGCACATAAATTGCTATATTTAAATTGGGATAAAGCTGTAATAAATCATTATAAAGTTATCAGTAACCATAGTAGTAGTGATTATAGTGTTAATGTTTACTTTGTGTTAGTG